CACTACTCTTTGGCCGGAAGGGATGGGTTGGGGGCGGGTGTGCGACACTTGCCACATGTTGGCATCTGATCGCGCCGGTTTAATCCGCCCTCAACCCGTCCGTTTCGTGGGGCAAATCCTCCCATGTGCCCGGGGCCGGACTGAGTTTCCAAAACTTGGAATAGTTCATAACAGATTAGGAGCAGATAGGAATCCTGGTCTGTGGTACTTTTATCCAGAGCGAGTGACTGATGGAAGAGAAATCCCATAAAAAGAACTTTTAAAATTTACTACTTTGCTTGTACCTTTTCAGTTGTACAAAAATGTTTCTTTTTTTCCTCATAATTAGGGATTACCTTTTCTTGTGCTACAATGTAGTACCTAGTCACAAGAGAATAATTTCAGGGGATCCTGGGTAAGGAACTTTCTTTTCAGGTCGTTTGTAATGTCAGAAACAAAAACTGCAGTGTACCTTTGCTACACTCTACAGGCTATTCTGAGAACTCCAGAAGTCAAATCATAAATCTGTTCAAAGTTATTTTGTTAAAAAACTGTAAGGATAGTAATTTTTGCATTTATAGAATTACAGCTTTAAAAATGCATATTTATGAATTCATGTATTATGTATGCTGAAGACAGCATATAATCTATTTAAGTCTCTCTGGTTTCGCTGGGCCAGTGCAAGAACAGGATTGCAACCTGTTTTCCAAATGCAAGTAAGTTCTTTGACTTCTAGGAACCATGTCCTGAGCTGACTAACCAGATTCTTTCCCAGGAGAGCAGTATTTTGTTGATGAGTGCTGTTTGGTGAAATGTCACCTTATTACTTATCATTTAAAGATACTGCTATGGCTGCTACTGTGAACTTGGAACTTGATCCTATTTTCTTAAAAGCTCTGGGCTTCCTGCATTCAAAGAGCAAGGATTCTGCCGAGAAACTTAAAGCACTGCTGGATGAATCTTTGGCTAGAGGGACAGATTCAAGCTACCGCCCATTACTGAAGGTACTGGAATGAATGAATGGTGTACTGTTGTACTGTCTGTCAAATGTTGACAATTCAAGGAGCCCACTTTTGATTAATTGTTTTGCAGGCCCCTTTTCCCAAACCCTTGCTTCCTCCCTCGCCAGCACTCAACACTTACTGAACAGTCCCTTTCCAGAGCAGATGTGGCAAGCCACAGGTGCCCATGGAAGCTTTCATCGTCTCACTCTGTAAAAACAATACAGTGGGAGACCCTTATCAGCTATACTTTAAAACCTAGTTTAAGAAAAGTATTTGTATTGTCTATCTTTGGCCTACAAGGTCAGGTCTTATACACTGCTAATTCTAGGGTCAAACCTTTAAAGGCTGTGCCAAGTTCTAATCATTCTCCTGCCTTGGTTGGATTTTGCACCAGAGACAACGAACATTTTCCTTATTATGTTGTCGAAGGCTTTCACGGCCGGAGTTCATTAGTTGCTGTAGATTTTCCGGGAGGTGTGGCCGTGGTCTTGGCATTGTAGAACGTGGCGTTTCGCCAGTAACTGGACATGCTAATGGAGGAGCTTTCCTGAGGAGGTTCTTTTGTTTCCTGAGGAGGTTTCCTGCTTCCTGAGGAGGTTGTTGAAATTCTAATCTTATCTGTAGTGCTATTGTCTGATGTAAAGCCTTTTGTGTTTTTCAGGACAGGAAGCCATGAACACAAACATAAACATAATTTCAACAGGAGAGAAAAGAGTTTAAAAATAAATAGGATATGGCTTCCTGTCCTGAAAAACACATGTCCATAGCCTGGGGAACTCCTACAAGACAATGACTCAGCCCTACCCACCTTCTAGAGTAGATATAAATTGACTGCCTACCATTTTTCTTCTCACCTTGACACAGAGAGTATTCCATCTTTCTGTGTTTATACCTCTGAGGATGCCAGTCACAGTTACTGGTGAAACGTCAGGTTCTACATTGCCAACTGTGGATGGTGGCAGCTTTGTGATCGGCCACCCTTTCAAAAGAAGAGGAAGCCCGTTTCTTTGCCTGAGGTGAAGAGTTCTTAGAAAACCAAGGAGTCCGTTCTTATGCTAGCCTTATTTATTTATTTATTTTTTAAATTGCATTTATACCCCGCCCTCCCCGTGAATGGGCTCAGGGCGGCTTACATAAGGCACATAGTGCATACAATATAAAAAGATAAACCAGTTAAAATTCAATTCCATCGGATGCAAGACTAGAAAACTCCCAACAGCTTGTATAACATGCATGCATATGAGAAGGGCTGATAGATTAAACTTTATTGATCTGTGGCCTTATTATGTATTTAATTACCCCAGTATTAATTTTTTTATTATTTTATTCATTTATTAAAATTACCCCAGCAGAGTTATTCCAGTCTAAGCCTGTCAAAATCAACAGAGTGCACAGGATTGCACTGTCAGTATCTTTTCTTGTAAATGTTGCCTAGAAACAATTATCACCTGTCCTTTTATTCTATCCGCTCCAGGAAATTGGGATGCTTGTAACTTCAAGACTGCTGCCCTAAGGCTGCAGTCCTAAAAACACTTTCCCGGGATTACTCCTCACTGAATAAAATGGGACCTACTTTTGAGTAGATCCACTTAAGATTGCACTCTTGTCAGCAAGCTGCCATGGTGTTCTGTGTAACTTCTGATTGTACATATGTGATCCCTGTCCCTGCCAGCTGACCCCTGTGTTTTCTATGCTGTAATGCCAAAGTAAAACAACTGGAGGATGTGTGGGGGAGAGTATGCTTCGCTGTTAGCGTTTCCAAAATATTTTTTATTATTTTATTTATTTATTAAAATTACCCCAGCAGAGTTATTCCAGTCTAAGCCTGTCAAAATCAACAGAGTGCACAGGATTGCACTGTCAGTATCTTTTCTTGTAAATGTTGCCTAGAAACAATTATCACCTGTCCTTTTATTCTATCCGCTCCAGGAAATTGGGATGCTTGTAACTTCAAGACTGTTGCCCTAAGGCTGCAGTCCTAAAAACACTTTCCTGGGATTACTCCTCACTGAATAAAATGGGACCTACTTTTGAGTAGATCCGCTTAAGATTGCACTCTAAACACATTAATTACTTAATTCCAGTAGGTGGTTATTCATGGAGGAGTGCGAATGCTTCTCCCATCCAGATTCTCTGGGCCATAACAGAGAAGGGAGAAGCCCTGAGCTGCATGAGCAGGCATTGCAGCCGTGGCTGAGAGGCTGTTGGCATCCTAAATGTTCCTGTGATGACACCTGTCCCTCACCAGCCACTGCCACCATCTACTGTAAACTGTTTAAGATTGAAATCCAAATGATGAAAACCCAAAGCACCAGCTTTTTAAAGGCCGGAACCCTTATCTCTATTACTGGGTCTTACTCCTCTTTCTTTTATTCATCTATAAAGGGTGATACTTATTTGTTTTTAAAATGTAGCATAGTGGTTAGAGTGTCAGACTAGGATACAGTGGACCTAGGTTCAGATCTCCAGTCTTCCATGAAAGCTTGCTGGGTGACCTTGGGTCGGTCACACAATCTCATGTGAACCTATTTCATGAGGCTGCTATGAGGATAAAAGGGAAGAAGGGGATAATGATGTTATCCACTTTATGTTCCCAGTGGTGGGGTGTAAGTGAAGTAAACAGATAAATCTGTCTTAACCAGATGCTGAAGGTGAGGTACAGAAACCAAAATGATCCATAGCATTAATAAAACACACAGCATCAACTCTGTTTACTCACATCATTCCTACTCCAAATTTAACGCCTTCCAAAAGAGAAACATCTTCCTACACCGTCATAAGGCTTGAACAGAGTGCCATAATCCGTGGGTGGCTGCTGAAAAAGCCCTTCTGCAGGTTTAGGTCTGTGACTTCTATAATTACTGGTTCATGCTAGAGAACACCATTTGATGATCTCAGCTCCCAGGCAGGTAATAATGGGTGGAGATGGTCCTTCGCGTATTTGGTGCCGCCTGAACCAATTAGGGCTTTATTAACGGCACCTTGAATTGTGCCAGGAAACAATTGGAAGCCAGTATAGCTGGAATAAGGCTTGTTTGGTATAATCTCTGCTGCTGGTCCCAATTATACCACTCTTTTGCGTCAGGTGACATTTCTGTGACAATTCAAGGGCTGCACAGAGTATGTTAGATGTCACCAAGGCGTGTGTGACTAAGGCAATGCTTGTTTTCTTCGGGAATGGCCACAGCTGGTGGGCTAGCCTTAGTTGTTAAAAATGTGACAACGTGGTGGAGAATGCGGGCAGTGGCGACCCGCTGAGACGACCCCGCCCACGTATCCCGCCTCCCTTTGGGTGGAGACCGCCGCCGTTGAGGTCCTCAGCGCTGGGCACCAGGCTGGAATCCCCCGACACGACGGATTCCGAAGACAGCCAAGCGTCGGTCGTAGAGAGGCCAACAGGGGCCGCGGAAGACGGCCACACCATGGACATCACCCAATTTGGCCAGTGGATGGCCGAACACCAGGCCAGGCTGGTGCGGGAGCTGGCACAACAAAACCAACAGACACAGGCAGCCCTCATGCAGGACTTACACCAAGCCCTCCGCACCATGGGACAGACTGTAGCCGGTGCCGGAGGCGGACAGATCCCCAGCGGGAGCCCCTGGCCTCCCTTGACGAAGATGGGTCCAGAAGAGGACGTGGAAGCCTTCTTGGAAGCGTTTGAGAGGGCCGCCGAGGCAGCACGGTGGCCGGCAGACCAATGGGCGTTTATCCTGGGTCCCTACCTGGCTGGTGAAGCATAGGCAGCCATGAAGGCCCTCGAGAAAAGTGAGGCGGCAGACTATAAAAAGCTCAGGGCTGCCATCCTGGACCGCTACGAGCTCACCCCGGAAACCTACCGCCAACGGTTCCGGGCCTTCACGATACCACCCACGGGGCGCCCCCGCGCCACAATAGCGGCCCTGCGGGATGCCGCCACCCGGTGGCTGCTCCCTACGACCGAGGACGGCCGGCGCATTGTTGAGTTAGTAGTCATCGAACAACTCCTGCAGGTCCTGCCTTCCCGGACACGCCATTGGGTGGCCTGTTGGAAACCCACGAAACTCACGGAGGTGCAAGAATTGTGGGAAAACCATCTGTCGGCCGACGTCTGCGATATATGGCCAAAGTCGGAACCGCCTCGCCCGCTGAAGGCCCCTGTTCCCAGCGGCCGAGGAGCAGCCGTCGGAGGGGCGGGACGAGGGAGCGAAGGGTTCGGCAAGCCCGGGCGGGCACGCCCGGGGGTAGCTCGAGCAGGCCCCCTTCCCATGGCACCAAGAGGAGGAACGGGTAGCGGACCAACACCAGGTGGCAACCCGGGAGCGGGACCCGGTCCCGGAGTTGGGCCTCGGCCAACGAGCACGACAGGAGGGGCGGGCGTGGGGCCCTGTTACACCTGCGGCCAATGGGGTCACCTCAAACGAGACTGTCCCGTAATGGAGTGCGACCTGGGGGTGGATTACACCATGCAGGAGGCCGAAACTCGGGAACGCCCTCCGGCCTGGACCATGCCGGTCCGAATGTACGGTCGGCAGGTAGATGCCCTGCTCGACAGCGGGAGCTCTATATCCATGGTCCTCTCCTGCTTGTTACCCTCGTGGCTGCCCGTGGTGCGCTGGGCCACCATTGTATGCTTCCACGGGCACTCGGAACGCTGTCCCGTAGTGGAGGTGCCGCTACAGTACCTGGGGCAGTGGGTAGAGGTCCAAGTGGCCCGCATGGCAAGGCTACCCTGCCAGTTGTTGCTCGGGCGAGATGCCCCAGGGATCAAGGAAGCCATTGAAGCCTACCACGTGGCTCGACACCGGCCCCGTGCACAGGGGCCCCTGAGGGAGGACATAGCCGCACCAGCGGGAGACGATAGACCACAAACCCCGAGAGATGAGTGGGATGAGGACCCCGGAGAGGGCCCATCGCACAGACAGCCACCCGAGCCGGATCCACGACAGCAGTGGCGAGTGAACCAAGCCTTCGTGGACGCACAGAAACAAGACCCAGGGCTGGAGCGACTACGCGCTCAGGTGGCGGTAAGAGACGGGACGGTAGTGGATCCCCGCCGTGAAGGGAGACTTCCCCATGTGAGGCAAGAAGGGGAGGTCTGGTACAGGGTGGCCAAGGGGCGGGTGGGGCCTATAGAACAACTATTAGTCCCGTCCGAGTTCCAGGCCGACGTCATGCGATTCGCCCACGACCACCAGTGGGCCGGACACCAGGGATTCAAGAACACGATGACCCGCCTGCTCGCACACTTCTTCTGGCCCACAATAGCCAAAGACGTAAGAGCGTTTTGTAGGGCGTGTGAAGTATGCCAACGAATGACGACACGGGCAGCCCCTAAGGCACCTTTGTCACCGGTCGTGGTCCACGGGGCTCCGTTCGACCGCATAGCCATGGACTTCGTGGGGCCCTTGGCGCGCACTCCCAGAGGGGCGCGGTATATACTGGTCATCATGGACTATGCTACCCGGTACCCCGAAGCCATACCCCTCCCGAGCCTCAAGAGCGCTGGAGTGGCTCGGGCACTTATGCATCTCTTCGCACACGTCAGGATGCCGCGGGAAATACTGACGGACAGGGGGTCACCCTTCACCGCCAAGTTGATGAAGCAGGTCTGTGATGTGCTTCACATACGACAGCTGTTCACGTCGGTACACCACCCGCAGACGGACGGTCTGGTCGAAAGGATGAACCAGACCCTCAAAGGAATGCTGCGGAAGATGTCGCGAGAGAAACCTACGGCGTGGGACCTTTTAGTGGACCCTCTGCTCTTCGCCATTCGGGAAACGCCCCAGGCCTCGATGGGGTTCGCCCCGTTTGAGCTGCTATATGGCAGGGTCCCAAGGGGGATATTAGGTGTGGTAGGCGAGCAGTGGGCCCGCCCCATCCCGAACGCTGAAAACGAGGAAGTGTGTGAGTACGTCGCACGGTTGAAAGATCGATTGGAGTGGGTGAGAATGGAAGCGCGACAGAATCTCGACCAAGCACAACAGGCGCAGAAGCGGCAGTATGACCGACAGGCGGTGCCCCGAGTCTTTGCGGAAGGCGAGGCGGTTTTGGTATCCCGGCAGGCGCTGGCCCGACCTCATGGGGACCCGTGGCAGGGCCCTTTCCGGATCACACGGGTACTGGGGCCCCTCTCATACGAAGTACAGTGCGGGCCGCGGGCCCGGCAACGGAAACATCTTCATGTCAATGATATTAAGGCCTGGGTCACGACACAGGAGGAAGACACTGCGTGCCTCGAGGCCGACCCTTCCTCGTTGCCCGAAGGTCCGCTACCGTGGACCGAGGACACGGACGGCGATGCCTACCCGCAGGGGGATCCGGATCTGACCCCAGAACAACAGGGGCAGCTACGGACGCTCCTGAGACAAGAGGAGGGCGTCTTCGCGTCGACCCCGGGATGTACACGACTTGCCACGCATTTCATCCCTACCGAGCCCGGAAAGGTGGCCCGAGTCCGGTGGCGCCCGGTTCCCCAGAAAAGATGGGACGCCATCGGGAAAGAGGTAAAGGAGATGCTGCGACTCGGCGTCATCGAACCCTCTCACAGCGAGTGGCGAAGCCCAGTGGTACTGGTGCCAAAGCCAGACGGCTCGGTACGCTTCTGCGTGGACTACAGAGAGGTCAATAAGATATCACAGTTCGACGCGTACCCCATGCCACGAGCGGATATCCTGATTGACCAACTGGGGCAAGCCCGCTACCTGTCAGCGATCGATCTTACGAAGGGCTACTGGCAGGTGCCTGTCCACCCCCCAGATAGAGAAAAGACGGCGTTCGCAACACCACAGGGGCTGTTTCAATTTCGCAGAATGCCCTTCGGGCTGCAAGGGGCAGCCGCCACGTTCCAACGGCTAGTGGACCGGGCGTTGGTTAATTGTGAAGGGTTTGCCAGGGCATATATTGACGACATCGTTATCTGCAGCCCTGATTGGCCCACCCACCTACAACATCTGCGGACGGTATTGCGGGCCTTAAAGCAGGCAGGCCTGCGGGCTAACCCCCGGAAGAGCAAACTAGGCTTCCAGGAGATCAAGTATCTCGGCTTCCTCGTGGGAAGAGGGCAGTTACGCCCTCTTCCAGACAAGGTGTTGTCGGTAGAACACCATCCCCGGCCGGTCACCAAGAAACAGCTGCGCCGGTTCCTTGGGATGGTGGGATACTACGGGAAGTTCATCCCCCATTTTGCCTCTCTCGCTAGTCCTCTAACGGACTCTTTGCGGAAAGATGAGCCGAAGACCGTCCGGTGGACTGCAGAACGGGAGGCAGCATTCCAAGCGTTGCGCAGCAGTTTGTCACAGGCACCGGTGTTACAAAACCCTGATTTCGACCGACCCTTTGTCCTGCAGACCGATGCCTCCACCACCGGGCTGGGAGCCGTCCTGGCCCAAGGCCCCCCTCAAGCGGAACGACCGGTGCTCTTCATCAGCCGAAAGCTGCAACCGGCTGAACGGCGCTACTCCACGGTAGAAAAGGAGGCCCTGGCCGTCAAATGGGCCGTCGGGGCCCTCCGCTTCTACCTGGAGCATAATCCCTTCCAGTTGGTAGTCGATCACGCCCCCCTGCTCTGGATGGAGCGCATGAAAGACCATAATCAGCGGATTCTGAGGTGGTACATGTCTCTTCTTCCCTTTCAGTTCACCGTTCGGCACCAGGCAGGCCGACTGCACACCGTGGCCGACTACCTGTCCCGTCTGCACGAGGACGCCCCGGAGCTCGATGCTGGTGAGGGGGTGTGTCCCGGCCAGAGTGACGGGATGGAAGAAGAGGGCGTACCGGCCCGGGACGCCCCGATACGTACCGGGACGACGACGGACGAGCGACGGCCAGCAGGAGCGGGGCGCGGGCGGGGCGAGGGTGGGCCAGCGTCGGCGGGGC